TATAGTTTTTTGCTCATATACAGCAAAACATACAAAAAAATCCAAAAATTATGTACCGCCCTCCAATTGTCATTTCTTCCTTCCCCCTTCTATTGTGATCAAACTTATTGACAACTTTCCCCCCAACTCCAGCATTATCAGTGTAGATTCTCATTTTTTACTTAGTTTTCATCTAATAATAGCATTTTTTTCCAAATATTTACTGAACACTTTATTTCAGATACTGTTATAAACATAGGGATTGAACAGTGAATAAGGATTAATCTCTGTTCTCCTGGAGCTTATATTCTAAAAGGGGAGACAGACACCCTTAGAGAGGGATAAGTCCAGTTATAATCCAGGGTAGATAGAGGAGGTGCTAGATAGAGTGGTCAGTGATGGCTTTTTTGTTTTGTTTTTTTTTTTAAGAAATGGCATTGTAACAGAGACCTTAATGTCATTGAGTTAGCTCAGGGAAGGTCATGGGGAAGAGCTTCAAGATCGAAGGAGTATCAAGTATAAATGCTGCAAGGTAGGAGCAAGTTTGATGTAATCAAGAAGGTTTAAGTGACTAGAGAGTAATGATGAGAGGACCTGTGGCTCAACAGGAGACCAGAGCAGCAGACAGAAGCAAGATTGCAGCGACCTTGTCTACCATGGCAAGGAAATTTAGGTTTTAGTCTGACTTTATTAGGAAGCCTTTGGAAAGTTCTAAGTAGGGGAGTGATTGTAGTCTACCTTTTTATTAAGTCTTAGCTAAGTTCACTCAGAAACATCCAAATAGTAGGTCTCAGTACATATACATGTATTTAAATTATCACCACAGGAATAAATTGATCCACCCCCACAAAATAAAATACCCTATTGCAAAGAAAGGGCTTTTTATATTTTCAACTAGCAGGAACTAAGAGAGTTTCTACTGAAATTTTTGCTTGTGGTTCTTGATTTCATTTAGTTGACATTAATAATAATCATGGTCATTTTAAGGCAAATGTTGGGACTAATAAAACTAATGTTGCCTCTTGTTCATTTCTACATATTTATATTTATCTTATGTGCATGATAACTACTTTCTGTTTTAGATCCTTAATAGGACCCTTTGGTCTACTTTTATGACAGTGGTGGTCCTGATTTATCAATAGAAGTGTGTAGTAGTTTATCAATTGGCATGGGTTTTTACTAATCTACTACTGGCAGTCTTCCTCTTGGTTCCCATGGTGAATAGGGCATGCAGGGAAATATCTGGTCAGGAATGTTAGGTGGCCAAAGAACACAGGGAAGTGGCAGGTCACAGCAAGCAAACCAGTGACCTTGGAATAATAAACAAAATGTTCGAAACCTAGGAGCCACAAATGAGTTCCTGAATATCTTGAATACCATCATCTCAGCTAAGATTAAACTCTGTCAGTATGTGTTTTAATAACATCACATTGCAGTGGGATTTTTTTAAGCTATAAAAAAGTTCCTTTGTGACTCTAAAGCTATGTAATGTTATTGGGGAACCTTTTAGATCTTTGCATTTTGGGGAGTTCAAAGGGTCAGGTCTTCTCTGAGCTCTTCATCAACTGACTCATGTCCATGCTATAACACTCACTTCTCTGGGACTCAGTTTTCTCCCATCTGTCAAAGGTAGAGGGCTTGCCTAGCATGCGCAAGGCCCTCAGTTCGTTTCCCAGAACTAAAACAAACAAACAACAACAAAAAGCCAACATTTTAGGAAAGATTTGTAGGATAGAAATGATAGTAAAACTGAATAAAAATTAAACCAGAATTCTCTTCAATTTTTAGCCTGATAAGAGTTACCAAACTGCACAAAGGGCTTAACAGGAACTTTTGTTTCTGTGTGGATCTGCTGCATTATTTTTCATCTCTGACATGTATCTCTTGTGAGCATGGAAAGGACAGGATGAATCAGTGATGAAACAGAGCCAGCTGTGTGAAGATTTATCCATGGAGGGCTAAGGAAGGCAGGATCTGAGATTAAAGAGGTATTTACAAAAACCAGTGAACTACCTCAAAATGGGATTCCTTTTTTGCTTATTCTGCTGATAATGGTGGTAAGGTAATCTTTGACTTTTTGGTTCAGCTTGTTTAAACCATTGTTCATTTAGCTAATCAAACTCTAATTCACTTCCTTTGTAAAAATAAATCTCCTCACCAAGGACTTTGTCCTGGTACATATGCATGAGTTTGCACCTCCAGGTTCTGTATCCCTCAAGCTGTTCCTTTCCCAAGGGATCAGTTCAATGAGCTACCAGCCTTCCCAGGACTAACCTGGAAACCTCGATCTTCTGCAGCTTATTCATCCTTGGAATTGCCAGTTCATCTAAAAGATCAATGAGAATATAAACTTATTTTTCTGCCACATTTTCACTTTCATTGAATCTATAATAAAAGTTCTGCTTTAGTAAATAAGGATGGTTCTGCTCATTAGATTTCTTTTTTTTTTTTCCCCCTTCATGGTTTTTCCATTAGCCCCTAGAGCCAGTGCATAAGGTTTAGTTATACTGTGGTTTCCCAGCTTCTTGTTAGAATCTAGAAAGTACAAGTAAAACTTATCTAAAAGAATTATAATTTTCCTCTATCTGCTTTAAACAAGATGGTAGAAAGCCAGTAGCTTTATGTGTTCATATACAATATTTTTAAATTTTTCTAGTTGTAGATGGACACAATACCTTTATTTTTAGTTTGTTTGGTTTTTTTTTTTTTTGAGTTCTAATGGTCTTTAAAAGATGTCTCTGAGAATCTAAGCTAAGGCAGGCACAGGCACAGGTGGTCTCTAGCAGTTGGCTGGAGTTTTCAGAAAAAGTGCTCCCTGGAGTGAAAACACCAATTTCCAAGTATATAAATGTCTATTATTTAGGGATAAACCAGACCTCACAATGTGTCTGTCTTTTTTTAATATAATCTTTTTTTTAATATTTATTTTTTAGTTTTCAGTGGGCACAACATCTTTATTCCATTTTTATGTGGTGCTGAGGATCGAACCCAGCACCCCGTACATGCCAGGCGAGCACGCTACCATTTGAGCCACATCCCCAGCCCCTTAATATCGTCTTTATATTATTTATTTTTATGTGGTGCTGAAGATCAAACCTAGAGCCTCGCATGTGCTAGGCGAGCGCACTACCGCTGAGCCCCAGCCCCACCCCCTATTAATTCATTTTTTAAAATATTTATTTTCTAGTTGTAGTGGGACACAACACCTTTAATTTATTTATTTTTATGTGGTACTGAGACTCGAACTCAGGGCCTTGCACATGCTAGGCAGGAGCTCTACCAGTGAGCCACAACCCAGCACCTTATTAATTCATTTTTATGTGGTGCTGAGGATCAAACCCTGTGCCTCACACATGCAAAGCAAGTGTTCTACCGCTGAGCCACTGCCCCAGCCCATATATACAATATTTTTATAAAGAAAATAATTTTTTTCCGATGTTCAGCTTTAGGAAAATGAGACATAAAAATATAAACATTTGTATACTTGACAACATTTCAAAAGAGTAATATGCTTCAGCTTAATACCTTGTAAATCATCCAATAGTAAAATGGTAAATATTAATTTTTAGCCTTTGATGTGAAAAAAATCTCAAATATTCTGGACAGTTTCTTTATACAAACGGAAGGCTGTACACCTTAATTTGACTCTTAAAAAATGTTATCAGGGCTGGGGTTGTGGCTCAGTAGTATCGCACTCATCTGGCATGTGTGAGGCACTGGGTTCGGTCCTCAGCACCACATAAATAAATAGATAGATAGATAGATAGATAGATAAATAAATGGATAATATTGTGTCCATCCACAATCAAAAAAATAAGTTATCATACATTATTATTAGTCTTATGTCATTAATGAATGAAGTAATAGTTCTTTGCATAAACTATATTTTTGAAGTTCTTATACCACTTATATGATATTGAAAATTTAATAAGCATACCCAAATTTATACTTCCAAAGAATATTGATTTCTTCAAAATAGTCACCTATGAAATTTCATTTATTTCAGTGATGCTATTGTTGCTACAAATGGTGTGGGTTCCATCTTTGGAATTGCTTCAGAGCAACTGTACCTATCTGGTGAGATTCATGGTAGTTTTCACTCATGCATTGATTCATCTGACAGAATTTTTTTTGATATCTTTATTTTCTTTATTTATTTTTATGTGGTGCTGAAGATAGAATCCAGGGTCTCACACGTACGAGGAGAGCGCTCTACTACTGAGCCACAACCCCAGCCCCTGACAGATACTTTTAAACACCTACTATGTGCTAGTTGTGTAATGTCTAGACTGATGAAAATGAAAACAAACAAAAAAAAACATGATTGCTGTCTTAATTATATTCATAATTTATTTTTTTTTAATTGGCAAAAAATCATTTAAAGCTGAATTTGGTAAAGATGAAGGATGTTAGTGAAAACCATGTTAGTAAAAAATAAGTTATTATATAAAGATACTGTTTTTTCTTTTTTACCTCATAAAGTCATTTTCCAAAGAGACTTTCCAGAAAACCAAGAAAGTATCTTGAAAATAGATTGATTGCTTGTTTTGGTACCTAATTTGAAGGTAACATTCATTAAGATAAAAGTAACATTGCTATTTTTGCTTTTTAAGTCACTGTGTGTTTTGAACCTCATATCCACCAGCTTTTATTTGGCTAATGAAAAACTTTCTAGATGGGTCCGTGGTTTACATTTGAGAAAACTGGCACACAAATGAAATGACAAGTGTGATTGTCATGTTGATCTTTAGTTTTTTTTTGTGTGTGTGTGTGTATTCACGTTTCTATAAAATACAGATTCTTAGTCTGCCCTGGACTAATGTCCTTCAGTTTTTTTCTTGTAGGTGACCACACAATTGGGAATAAAATAGAAGTGTTTAGTTATATTTCATGATGACTAGTCATACTTCAACGCATGATATAAGAAGAAAAACATTCTCACCATGATTGTACAGAGAGGAGCCCAGTGCCCTGTTCTAGTAGTTGCATTTGAGGTAATACAAGATGTTTGTCTCTTGCAGGGGGATCTTTGGATGTATATAGGAAAATTCCAGAACATGTCCTTGGAAGAATTGCAGTAGCAGTAAGTATATGGCTTGGGAAATTTGGGTGATTTGATCCTTCTAGTTAAGCCTACTTTTATGTCTTCAGTATTTTTTTTCCCTCACTTTCAGTTGACTATCAGGTTCTTCTTAGTTGCCTTCAGCTTTTATCATTTTTGTCTTTTCTCCCCTTCATAGACCAACCCCCAACACAGCACATTGATACCTCTTAGGCTCAGTGGTACTCTCACCTTTTCTATATCCTGGGTTTGCAGAAACCATAGTGATCAGGTTGACCACTAGAATTTTCAGCCTCTTCAAAAGATAACTAGTGTTTTGGACATGTTGTAGTTATAGGCATAAAATTAGTAAATACTTAAAAGTCCAAATCATTAAAAACATGCAAAAAATGCTACTTTGCTCTTAAATATTTTTGCAATCTTTTTTATGTTCTTGATTTTTTTCATTTTTTTTTTATCAACTACAACTAGGAGCTTATTCCCTTTGTCATTAAAAGCAGCTTTTCTGTTTCCTGATTTCACTAATAAACTGATGAAATATATCAACTAAACTAACATTTCTGTGTAAGTTCCAGGTTTCAAATTTGGAATAATGTAGGCTAAACAGTGTCTAAGAGAAGTCATAGGGTGGTATAATAGTAAACAATTGCTAAACTAAAGGCACTCTGATAACTTAAATGGTTTAATGCAGAACAAAGTGATTATATCATGTACCATTTAATTAAATGGCTTATTTTCACATTCATTATACATCAAACTGACAACTCAAATTCTTTAATCCAACATGAACACTTATTTAGTCTTAGTTCATTGTAATTCACAGCTTTCCTTTTTTCTCTCTAATTATTGGTGTGAACTGCTCAAGGTGATGAGAACTTTCTTTTCTGATGCTATTGCTGCTAAGTAGCTTCTAATCTACATGTGTAGGTGGATTCATATGAAATCTGAGTACTTAAATCACTTGTTTAGATGAAAATAAAAATGTTTCATTTCCTTTTCTAATCTCAGGGGGGGATGGAATGCTTTGTGGCTTTTAGCAGTTATTGGCTCTAAAGTTTAATAACACGTATGATAAAGGGTGAAAAAAAGCAAAGAATATAAACTGAAAAAAAAAAGAAATTTACAAGTTCTGTGTACTCAATTATCTATTGAACTTGGCAAAAATAGAGCCTGCCTTCTTTGGTAGAGAAGCGTGTTTTTCTGGGACATCATAAACCTTGCCTGCCTCTCGTGTGGGGCAGCCAAGCAAGGCCACTGCTCTTTTCTGTTGGAGTGGGATGGCTAGGAAGTGGACACAGTCAGCAGAAAAAATAAGTAAGCTTTAAATACAGGGCTTGCCTATTGGGTAACTGAAAATATGACAGATTATTTTAGTGACAGTTGTTAAAATAAATGCTCATTCAAGTCATTGATAATATGCCCTTACATTTTTTAAATTTGGGGGTGATTTCTTAAGTATGTCCAGTTTCTCCAGCTTTTATGGTTCATCAGATTATAGTAATGAAAACTGCTCATGGCTGGAGTAGAAGAAAGGCTTTTGATAATTTTGCTCTTCTTGTCGCTTTTCAAGAACTCTGCTGGGGACTTAAGCTTGTATAATACCTTCAAAGTATTTGTGTGTGTGTGTGTGTGTGTGTGTGTGTGTGTAATCTGAGTAGGTCCCAAAATTGGATAATCCTTTGTTGAAACCAACATATGCCAGATTGGCACATGGCTAACGCCTGACACTGGGAAGACTGTGCCAATTAAAATATGACTAGCAGATTAATAGGTCAAAGGTCATGATTTGTAAAATACATGTTCTAATAAGCCTGGTTGGATTTCCAGTATTTGTGGTTCTTTGTCCTATAATGTTCCAAAGATAACATCAACTTCTTTCCCTTGAGTTCCCTTAGTGGGCCAAGAAAGCACATGAGTATAGTTTTAGCTGATGCCAAGTTTAAAGGATCAGGATCAAGATGGGAAATAGGTGTATGTTGAATACTTCTTGTCCCAATCATTGTTATAAGTTGATATACAAATATTATGTCATTTAGTCTTTATAGCAACCCTATAAACTTCAGACTGTTGAATATATGTTGTATTATGCAACATGAGGTTTAGGAAAGTTAAATAACTTACCTAGAGTTATTGTCTAATTAGTGCCAATTTGAACACAGGGCTATCTAACCCCAGGCCCAGGGCTGTCGAACTCCAGGCCCATTGCTCTTTTATGCAGCTTTCCTAAGAGTCTCAGTGGGAGGAAATAAGAGGGAGAAGTGAAGGTGAGAACTAGTTTAAAAAAAAGAGAAGAGGGCTGGCAGGAGCTCAGTGATAGAGTGCTTGTATGGCATATGCAAGGCCTAGGTTTGTTTTCTAGTACCACCCAAAAAGAAAAAAAAGGGGGGATAAAAAAATTACAAGTGAAAGAGTAATGAAGTAATACATATAATTGCTTCAGATTAATTTTGAGACCAGGTCTCATTGTGTTGCCCAGGCTGGTCCCGAACTCCTGGACTCAAGTGAACCTCCTGCCTCAGCCTTACAAGTAGCAGGGACTCCAGGTGTGCACGACTGCACCCAGCGTCAGATTCTTTTCATGTCTTAGAACTACATTTAAGGCATCCCTTTTTCCTCAAGTGAACTTTATTTTCCAGGTTTTAATGATCTGGCATGCAAGGCAAGCCCATAGAGCCAAAGTTCATTACAGGATTGACCTCTGTCAGCCTCTGTGATATGTTGTTCAAATTTTCTCTTGTAGGATATATGGCAGGAGGGAATTTTTCCTTGAAGAAATCCATATAAACTGTCTGATTTCAGCCTTCCAACCTGCTCCATGATTTTTATCCACTATTCATTTGAATCTGGTCTCCTGTAAAAAGGAATGCTTTCCTGCCATCTAACACATTTTATTTTTCCTCACATTTTGAAGCAGTGACACAGTGTACTGTATTTTGAGTGCTAATGTTGATTGAAGTTGTCCCTGAAAGGATGTGTACTTGACATGTCAAGGAGTGAGTGATTGACAGCAGATATAAATACTTTTAGTGTCAAGGCTTTGTCAAGTCATTGTTTTGAAACCTAGCCTACTGAATACCCATAATACTTTCTAAATTTTCAATAGATAGATTTCTAGCTCATTTTACACTGATACTTAAATGCTTTAAAGGAAAATGTAGTCTACTTTGATAGTTGGAAGAATAGTTTCTTTTTGAATCTCTAAAAAATTTATAATTTTAGCAGTATCATAAAATCAAGATACTATTTGTTTTACCTTTTTACTACTTGACAATCTGAATATGTTGGATTTCCTCCCCTTTGTGGAGTGTTTTCAGATTATTCGCTTTGTTGAAACAATTTTAGTGGTTTGCTGTCTATAATGGGCAGGCTTTATAATACACAATAATTTATTTTTAAAAAAATATTTATTTTTTAGTTTTAGTTGGACACAATACCTTTATTTTATTTATTTTTTACATGGTGCTAAGAATCGAACTCAGGGCCTTGCATATGCTAGTTGAGCACTCTACCGCTGAGCCACTACCCCAGCCCAATATTCAACAATTTCTAAGTTGAAAACACCCAGACTCCTCAGAACTAAGGCTAAATAAGGTAACCTCCTACAACTCAAAGAGAAAACTGTATTCATTATTGATAGTATTATTATAAACATTTAAAGAAATACCTTGTCCTTTTTTCTGTTATAAAATTATCATTAATGTTTTTTACTTAATTTTTTTAAAATTTTTGGTTGACATAGCAATTATGTATTTATGGAGAACAGTTGACATTTCAATACATGTGTATAATGTATATTGCATTATTAATATTTTAACATTTCCTTTTTTATGTTTAACTTTTCAGAATATATTTTATTGTAATGTCTCATTCCAAATTTTAGAAGAAATAATTTTCCATAACAATGTATTTTTTTCTCTTAGAATCGATAGCATATAATAGAATTGATCATACCATGTTAGCAAATCTTTCAGGAGTACATTCTACTCTATGAGAACAATTAAAATATGTTAACCTCTGCTCTATATTAATTGGTATAGATTGTTGTCTTCTACCTCTTTAGTAGAAGTAGTTGGTTTTCTCCCTTTGCATTTCTGTTTTTAATGTTGCCCTTAGTCTTTCTTGATCAACTAAAATCTTTCTGTATTTAGCCCCAGCCCTCTTTTTGTCATTTTAAGATATTAAACCACTCATTACTTTTCATTGTGGTAAGTGTTCTTGTTAATATAGCTCTGACTACCTAATATTTTCTATAATGATGGGTACTTTTAAATTCTTCTGGGAAGTTTTGAGTTTCATAATTATGGTATCTAATTACCAATTGCCAACCTTGAAATTGTAAGTGTATGTTCATGTGCCTACAGGGTCAATGGTTGTGAATAAAAGGTATGTCTCCCTGTACAACAATCTTTGTATAAAGATTTTGCAAGTTTCATTTTTGCAGTGCTGGTGATTGACTCCAGAGCCTCACCTCATGCAGTTGGGCTTTTAGGTTTTTAACAGCAACCTCTGATTAGATTTTCCACATAGAAGTTCACACTTGTAACCTTTGTACTTAAGATCTTTAAAATGTCTTTATTCAATATCTCATTGGCTGATTATTCTTAACTCTAGCCTATTACAGACAAAACCTCAAATCTAATTCCAAATGTTTGTATTTTCTCATTTTGTGACCTGTGCTTTCAGTATTGCCTGTGTGATTCCTCCACATACATGCTTTACACCAGAATTTTCTTGGTATATTTTATTCCTTCCTACGCTGATAATTTTTTGAAGTTTTTAAAAAACTTTTTATATTGAAATTATTTTAAATTTACAAAAAAAAGTTGTGAGAATAATACAAAGAATTCCTGCAGATGATTCATAGAGGTTCCCCAATTAACATTTTAACACATTTGGTGAAAATATCTTTTTCCCTTGACTTTCTTGTGAAGGTGAGGGCTTCCTGACTAATGGTAGGAAAAATGATTCCTGTTCTATGCACTGCCTTATTTTATTAGTTAACTTTTTAGAAATTTCTCAGGCTGGGGATGTAGCTCAGTGATAAAGCATGTGCTTAGCAACACACACACACACACACACACACACACACACACAAACACACACATACACACTCTCCTTGTTCGAAAATGTCTTGACTTCAAACAAAATCATACAGAAGTATAAACAATTTTTTTTTGTCCTTTTTTTTCTGTCCCTCTCCTCCCCTGCCTGTAGCACCATTAAGAGTTTAGTATAGGGCTGGGGATGTGGCTCAAGCGCTCGCCTGGCATGTGTGCAGCCCCGGTTCGATCCTCAGCACCACATACAAACAAAGATGTTGTGTCTGCTGAAAACTTAAAAAAAAAAATTTTTTTAAATTCTCTCTCTCTCTCTCTCTCTCTCTCTCTCTCTCTCTCTCTCTCTCTCTCCCTCTCCCTTTCCCTCTCCCTCTCTCCCTTTAAAAAATATTTTTTTAAAAAAAGAGTTTAGTATATAGCCTTCCAGATCATTTTGTATACATAGACTTCTTTCTTTCACTTGGCGTACTTTATCTTCAGAACATTATAAACTAACTAAGTAGGAACATGTAGCTTTGTCCCCACAGAAACTGGCACAGAAATGGGAGATGTTCAATAAAGCTTGTTGGTTTCTAGACTTATAAAAGAAAAATTACAGTTGATATGTTTAACTGTTGAAAGTTCCCCATAATTGTACTGTTTTTTCTTTCATAAATTTAGGTTGTTAAAGGCCTTACCTATTTGTGGAGTTTAAAGATTTTACACAGAGGTATGTGCTGGGTTATAAGCTCTGATTTAATTTGAGGTGGGGTGGGGTGAAGCTCTCTAGATACCTTGATTTTTAAAGTGGGAAAATGATCTGACATTTATGCTAGCTGATATATTTGGAAGTCAAAAAGATGCTTGTTTATGTTGGGGTTGCTTTCTTCCTTTTATTTTCTTCTTTCTCTCATTTATATTATAAACTTGGTGTTATATTTTTGTGAATCACATTTACCAAATATGTAAAAAGATATTTCATAGTGTTTGAAAGTGACAGGATCTAATTGTCTTACTTAACTCTAGGTAGTGCAAAACCTTCACTTTTTGTTCAGTTGCACCCTGCCTTTTATTAATATTTCAGACATCATTATGTATTGTTCCTTAAGAGATTGCTCATATACCTGGAAAGTAAAACTTGAAGTAAGGAAGTGGTGATAGCATCAGAAACAATCCCTTGATTGAGTCACAAAACACATGAGAAAATAATCAGAAGACTGTTGAAAGTTGCAAAAGGAATCTCCTCGTGTTTTTTTAATGTTCCCAAAATGTCTAAATTCATTTGCAGCAAATTATTAAGTGAGAAAGAGACTATAACAAAGCAACTTCAGGGCCTAATGCTAAAATAGTGCTGTTTGATTTTACACATCTGCTCATCCTAGCTTTATGTACATTCGGAGAATGAAACAGCATACAATTAGATGTAATTAAAGGAAAGTATTTTTTTTAAAGGTATAAATCAAGAAAGGGAGAAAACAACTGATATCATCAAGTGTATTATCATATCTGTCACCAAGCATTATTTTCTTTTGTGGGTGGTTTTAATTCCTAGTGATTCCAATTTCTTCTTAAATTCTTTCTCTTAAAGAAGATATTTAGATTTTAACAAGTAAACTATTCAGTTCTTGAAGTTGTTATGTTAATTAAATGGAATCATAAGCTATGCATGCCTGTAATCCCAGTGACTTGGGGGGTTGAAACAGAAGGGTTGTGAGTTTTAAGTCAGCCTCAGTATTTTAGCAAGACCTGTCTCCAAAAGAAGAGGGAGTATAGGGATGTCGGGATATAGATCAGTGGTAAAGTACCATTAAGTTTAGTCCCCAGTCCCCGCCCCCCGCAAAATCATAAACCAAATTTTTTATTAAAGATACTCTATCTCAATATCATAGTTGGGACAGAATATAAATGCAGGGTGAATAAACTGAGCTGAGCTGTATTAGTATTACTTTCCCTGGGTATAAATCAGTGTGTAGATACATCTGGTGAGTGAAAGAAAAATGAAACATTTTTCACCATCAAGATTAAGGGAATGTTATTTAACATTATGTGGCTTATATTGTTCCTTTCTGTTCCCTGTCCTTCTACCTCTGTATACCCATCAACCCATAAAGTGGTTAAGCCATTTTAATAGGAATTAACCCAGTGGTCAATTCTCGTCGTTTCATTGTTTTTTGTTTGTTTGTTTGTTTGTTTGTTTTTTTTTGAGCACCTGCTGTCCATTTGACTAAGAAACTAGAGGAAGACTTAGAGCTCAGTCACAGAGCCTTCATTAGAAGGACTATACCATGAAATGAGAGTGTGTGATGAACATGAGTCTTCGGACCATTCTGTACTCCAGGTGTGCAGGATCGTTCTGGCTTGTGGTGAATTGTCCTAGCCATAACTTCCTGAAACAATTTAGTAGCACCAAGAACTCTAAGTGCAGCAAAATATGTTTTAGATATTCTGAAATCAACTTGGCTTTTCTTCTTTAAAATTAGAGATCATGCTGACAAGTTGATGTACCTCTGATATTCCTGTGTCTGTATTATTTGGTTTTAGTTTTACTCTGTGTTTGAGAGAAATCACTGCATTTTTTAATTTTAATTGAGATCTTGATAGACATGTTTCAAATGGTTTGATCTAGATTGGAAAATGAAGTGTGGGCTCAGATTCCTAGAACAATGATCCTGTGGTCTCTGTGGGCAAATATGGTTGACCAGAGCTCTCAGAGAGTGGCAGATGCTGGTTGTAGCTCAGGCGAAGAAAGAGCTTTCCGATTTGTGATGGATGTGGGCTGCAGTGAAGTGATGCATGCCCTATTTGAGGGAAGGAAGGTTTCAAAAGAGAATCTGAACTTGTACTTTTCTTTTCAGTCTTTGCTGACTCAGCCAATCCCCACAGAGTAGCCCACTATAAAATACCACTGTTGTGGGAAGATGTGAGTGAGGGCCATGCTGGTGGGCCAACAGATCCTCTCAAGGATTGAGTTCTCAGTAGGGGCCAGGGAGTGTATGTGCATGTATGCCTGTCTGTCAGGGAAAACCAGTGCCGATGAACAGTAGTTCATGGGCACTCAGCAGTAGAAATCAGTAGGCTGTGGTAATAGACCTCATTAAATATACTTACATGTTTCCTAGCTATTCATGGAAATTTTTACCTTCTAGATTTAAAAGCATGTGTTTTTTATTGAAGAACAGAAGAAGCCAGATGTCCCTGAAGACTTTTGTAAAGCATTGTAATGAGAAATTTACCCTAGATTGAGTAGCTGTTAACTTAATATTTTAGAGGTTTTGTCCATATTTAATAACTTGGATTCCATAAAACTAAGATTAAAGATGCCTTTTTATTTACCAAAAGCTATTTAATTTTCTCCTTGATTAAAAAATTGTAGCTTTTTAGATAAGTTCAATCAGGCAATTAAAGATCAGAGCTTTTAAGTTCAGCTAAGGCAATTAAGTAGGTAATATACTTGTTTATACGCTTTTGCTATATGAGCTTATTGCTGTACCTTCTTAAAAGCACATATACTCATTTTTGCTTCCTCTGATTGATGATGGGAATTCTAGCTGAATATGTGTCACATTGTCAAATCAAAGACAGGTCCTTTTTCAAGAAGTGGGAGAGCCTGGTCAGGCTTTGTGAGAGGACAAACAGGGAAAAGAAGATGATGAGATAAAATACTGACAAGTCATCTAAGCTTCTCCTTTGTCTTGGTCAATGTACCTGGGTTCTCCTCTGAGTGTTGGTTTCTGATGCTGCCCCAAAAAACCAGCATAGCAAGAAAAAAGGAGACACTGATTTATACTTATGAGCCCAAATTTTTAAAAATTAAGAATGGAAGGCTGGGGTTGTGGCTCAGCGGTATAGTGCTCACCTAGCAGGCACAGAGCACTGGGTTTGATCCTCAGCACCACATAAAAATAAAATAAAGGTATTGTGTCCAACTAAAAACAAAATATTAAAAAAAAAAGAATGGAGATATGTTCAATCACCTAACATAAAAAGAGAACAAACTCTTTCTTACAAATAAATGGTTTCCTTGGAATGCCAAATTCATTCCCGAATTTTTACCTATAGAAAATGTACATAGAAATAGAATATTGTAGAACTTACAAAATATAGCTAATGACTTCCAAACAAATTGTTGAGAATCTGGAGTCTTTCCCTTAGTGTATCCAGTGAAGATCATAGAATGAAATCTGAGCAGTAATCAGTGACAGAGCACCATCCCATGAGGCTTGTTAGTGTGGCCAGAGTTTATTTGGTAGTGTTTTATGTCAACTGGGAGTTGTTGGGAATTCAAATACAGTAGTCACTATTCATAGTGGATCATCATATATTATATTTAGTCAGTTGTTACTATTGTTTATTTTCGTCTTTAATATTTGGCTGAGATTATATGTGTAAGAGTACTTTATAGCCTATCAAATACTCATATGCTTTTATTAAAATTTTGAATTGATCACTTTATTCTGTTAATAAGGCTACCCCACTCCAAAAACCAGCCAAGGAGAGAGTTTACTATACTTTATATTACTGGATCAAAAATTTTGTAAATCTTTTCTCTAAGATAAAGCAAACATACGATGATACCACAAGAGGACATAATTATTTCAAATGTTTGAAATTCCCACCAAGATTAACTACTATGGAAAAACTGTCCTTATCAGAAGGCATACGTGAGAGCCCTATATAACATTGCTGACTGTGGTGTGGGTAAAAGCAAAGAAAATGAACAGTGAGAAAGTCTATTAGGCCAGATCAGACACTACAGCAAACATTGCAGCTTAACTTCAAAACATACATCGCCACTAATGAGGTGAGAGCCCTGCATATTAATAAACCTGCAGCTCTAGTCATAGCCATCATTACCCACATCAAACACAAATACGAGTTTAACACCTATGCCATTTCTTTGGAGGATGTGAGAATGCCCTGGCAGTAACTGCTCTCTCTTTCCCTGAGGATAAAAAATAGAAATGGAATGGTAATGAGAATAGAACTTAGATTAAGAAAATAAAACTGGTAATCATTCTGGGGTGATCTTACACAGAGAGAGAAGTTTATAAAAAGAGAAAAACCTAGATAGTTGGTGTCCCAGGATTTGTGTGTGTGTGTGTGTGTGTGTATAGCGTTTCATTAACTTTCTCTAATAGGAAAGCCTTAAAAGTATTTTTGCAGAAATTCTAGAGATGAATGCGGTCCAAAGAGATCTGTGTAGAGAAACTAAGTCTTATAGGTTCTGCTCCTAGCTTTTTATTCTGCTCATGAATCTGGCCTCATGCTGATCTTCCACCCAGTCTTATCTTATATGCAAAAGCCAGTATGGTTAGCTTACTCATTCAGCAGTTATTTATTTTATACCTACTATGATCCAGGCACTGGCCTAAGTGCTTGGAATACTTCAGCATATAAGACACAGATTTCTATATTCATGGAACTTATATTCTAGCAGGGGTACACAGATAGGAAATAATCCAAAAGCAAAACCACAGTAAGTGAAGACAGCATGTGTTAGGAGGTAGGTAGTTACACGGAGAAAAGAAAAAGTAGGTGAAGTACATGGAGGCAAAGGGGAGGGTGCAATATTAATCAAAGTAGTCCTCCTGGAGAAAATGGCCTTAGAATGGCCTTGAAGGAGTGGAACTTGTCAAGATGACATGTGTGGGAACAGTTAGAACAGAAGCTAAAGATGGGCATGTGCACAGAGCACTCAGAGGCTGGCAGAGGCCAGTGCGTCTGAAGCCA